GCTACAAAGTAGCCATGTAACGGCGCGGTGACGATACCGCGCTACAAAACAGTTCACGCATATGATGCGCACGCAGATAACCGCGCAACCACGCAGCAAACAAAAAACAAAAAGCTACAAAGTAGCAATGTAATCGCGCGGTCATGATACCGCGCTACAAAACAAAATCACGTATATGATGCGCACAAAGACAACCACGCAACCACGTTGTAAACGAAAAAACAGAAAGCTACAAAGTAGCCATGTAACCGCGTGGTCACGATACCGTGCTACAAAACAAATCAAGCATACAAAGAGAGAATAATAAAATAGCCTGAAAAACGCGAAACAACTTGGTTTATATTTGGATTTTTTTAGCGGGAGATAACAGGCGCATGTGCCAAAAACTAAAATACAAAACAGGGGCAGTGACAATTCCCCCGGGCCTACACTTTGTCTAAAGACTGCTCGCTGGCGGCAGTGGTACCAGCCCCACCCTCTCCCACGGCGTCAGTTTCCCCAGCTTCCCTATCCTTAGCCCCTCCCGACGAACCATCTTCCCCATTCTTAGCGCCTTCAGACGAGTCACCCTCATCTTCTTTATCTTCGTCATCCTCTGACTCAGTGTCGGGCTCCAGGGATCTCTTTTCACGCAGCCACATCTGGACATGCTTGACAATAGCGCGAGTGTTCCAGCGGACGCCCGGATTTTCTGGCCTGACCTTCTTGCGGATCGCGATGACAGTCTTAGTCATCACATCCGCTAAAGTCTTGCCAAAGGCAGAGGAAGATTTGTATTGACGGACCGCGGCAACTTGTGCATCGCGCACAGCCTCAGCCTTGGCCACGTCATGAAGGTGCGCCAGGTCCTGCAAACTCAACCCAAACTTACCGCGAAGTGAACCTGCGCCAGGTCCTGCAGCGGGTCGGATTTCTCCAGGCGCGTAGGAACGCTGAGAACAGGCCCCAGCGCTCGCAGCGAAGCATTGGCGGTTGCCTAGTTGCAGGCCGCGCTAGTGTGAATCCGCACTTCGCGAAAGTAATTGGCGGCGGCCATCTCCGGCAATGTCTTTTGAACGATGGCCCCGGAGGAACTGCCAGCTGCCACCTTCTCGGCGCGCGGAGGCTTGCTCATCCGCACCGCTTGCTCGTTAGCCACCAAAGGGGCCTGGTGCGCGGGAGCCGAAGGTTGCTCACGGACTACCTGTTCGGTGGCCACCCGCGCAGTTTTCTGCCCCCTTTCTGCTGAGGATGAGCGCTCAACCTCCTTCCGCTTCGCGCCGCTTGAGTGAGCACCTTCTCTCTTCTTCTTCCCCCCGCGCGGGGCCGGCGGAACCTTCATCGACCGACATCATGCTCACCAGGCTGGAGAAGTCCACACCTGCGCCAATAAATTGTAAGAGGGCCGTTAATAAGACAGAATGCAAAAAGAAAAGAACACAACTAACCATCAGCAAAGAGCTCCTCCAAACAGGCCGCGCGGACTCCGCCGGTGTACAAATTTATCTTCCGCAACATGCACACGTCATATTCCGCGTCAATCCCGTCGTACTTTCCCTGATCCGACTCATAGCCATGAATACTGCCTTTCTTCCAAACGGTAGGATCCTCTACATGCTCACTCGCCCACTCCCCCGGAACAGGCTTAACAAAGAAGAATCGTTCAAACCAGTTCTTCTTCAACTTAGGGGACCCATATACGTAACCATCGGGGCTTTTATCGCGACGCCTAATCGAGAGGCAGTCGCTCTTCTCTGGCGGCTCCTTGATCTTCCGAAACAGCCCATAAGTCGGCTGAATCTTCAACCGCTTGCACACAAGGCGGAGGCACGACGCGTGCATGACCACCGAGAGAGAAAGACGCCCAACCGAGCAGTTGAGGCGCCGATACAACGCGCACAACAATGGGTCGATGGGGAATTTGAAGCCCATCTCCTAGTACTCGGTATACACCCCGACTCATCCAGGGGGCAATTGCCAACCCTGCTCCGCGCAGAGGGAACGACATACTCCCAATTTGGGGGCAATCCCAATCCGCGCACGATATCCCCCACGTCCCTCCTCCCATATATGGACACATGATCGGGCCCCCGAAGCAAGTTATCGAGTGGCGCCGGCTCATCGCCCCACATCTCCGCCCAGTCCAGTATAGTGTATGTCGCGCCTACACCGCGGAGTCCTAGACGAGCCATCGACTCAGACACACGCGCAACGCAAGCTGGCTCTGACTGAGTATCGGAACTTTCGCGCAACGCAACAACCGCGTCTCTAGAACCACCAGCGCGGTCGCGTCGGATTATTAACACTCAGCGACCACGCGAAGTCGCTTCTCTACTTTCAGATTCTTCTATCTCTACATCGGAAGAACTGGGCAAGAACTCATGCCCCGAATCGGCGTCCAACGACGGCGTCGCCGGAATCCCCCCACCACCAGCCCCGCCGCCGCTTCTGTTGCCGGAGTCGGCCAGATCCAGTGAAGGATCCGAAGAAATATGCGAAAGGGGAGAAAGATTACCTTCTTCGCCTTGCACGACCTCGATCTCGTCAACATTGGTGTTAGCCATGGCACTTCTCTGAATAATACCCACCACGAAGCGAGAAATAAGGTTGTAAAAGAAGGAGAGGAATCTCGAGAGGAACTGAATGTAGAAAGAGGACGAAGAGCTTGAAAGGAGCAGAATGAATTTCCCCCGATAGCCAACTGATACTTATAGTCGACAGAGGGAATCCGAAGGGTTTAAGTGGCATAGGGAAACGTAGCGGTCAGAGCATTTTTAGATCTTTTCAAATTTCAAAACCGCCGCCTAAACAGAACAATCATGAGAGGACACGTGGACACCTACCGCACGTGGGTTGTAGCCGCTGACGTCACAAGTTCCGCACACCGCCTGGGGGGCATGGCATACCCGCGAAGAGAAAAAATCACACCCAAACCCCTCTCGTGGAAATCAAGAAGCATACTCAAACCCAACCCTAAACCTGGGAGCCTCGCGGAGATCGCGCAAACCCGAACCAATCCCACAGAAAACGAACAGAAGACCGCACGGACCCGAGCCAATCTCGCAGAAGTTAAACAGGCGGCATTCGCAGAATACCACCTGATGGGGGGCAATCGTTGGGTGTGTGGCTCGGGTCTAATCGTGCCAAGGAGCCATCGCGACACCGCCCTAGAAGGGTCAGACGTGCTAGCACCAACGTGGCTGAAACTACCTCCTGCGCGAGAATCTCTAGCGCAACGAAGCCTGCACGCGCGGACAAGAATCCCGAGCACCGAACGACGACGTTTCAACCAGGAGTTGACCAGGCCAAGAAGGGAGAAAAATGACGCCGCATCCCCCGAAGAGTAGTCACATCACAGTCTTGTCACAGTCTTAGAGGCCATCATGGGGAAGCCCCCTAGTCCTAGGTAGAGGTATGGCCTAAGGTGTGGCATAAGGTTCTGACATGTCAGTTGACACGTCACCATGTAACTCACTCACCACCATGTAGCCTATAAATACAGCATTTACTCCGGTGGGTGAGGGGATCGGATTTTGGGACACTCTCGCTCTACTTACTAAGAACTTCTTCTCTCTAAAACCTCTGGTATCCCAAACCTTCTTTTGTTTGCTCTTCTCACCCTCATTCTATCCGAGTCTACCACCTACACTCAGTTAGACTCAAACAATAATAAAAATAAATCCCAAGTAATTTGAATAAAATCATATATAGTTTAAACAAAGGTGATCTGGCATAGCATTGTCCCAAGCAAGGTCTGCATATTTCTATGGCTGGTCTTCCACAAGAGAATTCTCACCATCGACAACCTGAAGAAGAAAGGATTCTACATTCCGAACAGATGTGTCCTTTGCAAGAAAGATGAAGAGTCCTCAAACCACATATTCATAACCTGTGCATTCTCAATCCAGGTCTGGAGCAGGCTGAAATGTTTTGTTAAAATAGAAGGAAGAGGTGGATCAAGCATGGACATCTCTGAAAGAATCCGATCCTGGTCACCCTTAAATCCAGAAAATCCAGCTCAGTGGTGTTCAAGAATTGCTTTACACGCGTTTTGCTGGCAGGTGTGGCTGGAAAGAAACAATCGGGTGTTCAATGACCAGGAATGCCATGTTCCTGCACTCGTAATGAAGATCGGGTACACCATCTTTTGGTGGCTGATTGCAGCGAGGAAGGTTGATAAAGAAATTGCAGAAAGCTGGATCAAGGAAATGAAGAGCAGGCTGTTTCCTGATAACCATCAACAGGTTCTAAATTCGAGTTTTCACGCTTTTGGGGTTGAGCAGTAGCATTCTATTCCTCCTTCCCCATCCGTAGCTGCGGAGACTCGCAGTCTGTTGCGTCTCTTTGGTCTTTTGGCTCTGTTTCAGGATCAGAGTTGTACATGGGAGGGGGGCTTTTCCTTCCATATCTTTTTCTGTTCCTCTGTTTTTCTTTGTTCCGGTTTGCCGCTTGGTGCTGTTTCTTTGGAGCAGTCCCTGTTCTTCTTTTTTTGTCCCTTTAACTGTGTTGTTTCGTTTTTTCGTTCAAATTAATATATATCACCTTTAGCAACAACAAAAAACTCGCGCTTTTACGCTTTGATTCTACGTTTACGATTTTACCCATTTTCCGCTTCTAGGTAGAATCGCGATTTTAACTGCATTGATTTTGAGTAGGCGATTCATGTCTAAACAATGTTAATCATCACGTATGATACGACGAACAAGAAACCCCATGAATTGGCACAAAAATTATTCCAAATTTACATTAATTTGATGGAATTATGGTTTATGAATTTATTAGGGTTAGGGTTCATGATTTGGGTTTAGAACAAAAGTTCAAAATTGAATGTTTAAAGCTTATGGTAATGCACTTGATTAGTTGTGATCTTATGCTATATCATCATATTACACTAATCTTGCCAATCAAAATAAAAAATTGATGTCTTAAGGCTACTTTTAGAGTTGGGTGCATTGAATGCACTCATTTTTGTGAGTGCACCGAAGTAGCCACCCATATTTTATATGATTATGGTTTAGGGTTTTATTTTTATTTTTCTTCTTTTTTTATTCTTTCTTTTCTTCTCTCTTTCTTTCCTTTTTTTAATAAAGAATCATTACAATTTCGATTTTACGGCTAACCGAGCCAAAACCGAAAACCGACCTATCGGTAGTCGGCTAGCCTTGGCTTCCTCACTGTCGGTGATCAGCGACAGTCAGGAGTGGTTCGGTTTAACCGATAACCGAAGTTTCGGTTTTCGGTTGACAGCCCTATAAGTAGTAGTTCGTAAAGCTACTAGGTTTATTCAGATAACAGTCAACACATGACACATAGGATTCTGGCTGGGCTAGAATCTCCTAATAGCCACCATTGTTGCTTCTACTCTAAATAAAAAACACTGTGGACGCAGAGATTCAGGCTTCTAGCTTCTAAGTTCTAACGTTCTAGCCACGCAGATTGGATGACCATCTCCACTGACAACAAGTTGAGTCCCGAAAGAGCTGCACTTAGGATAAGTATCCCCTTTCTTTGAGATACTCAACTGAATCCTTGATGATTTGATCCATGGGGATAAACTCTAGACCCATGTCCATCAGCTTCTTAGCTCCGTTCTTTCCCCTTAACAGCCCAGGCTGTGTATCCCTAGGTAAGCTACAAAAGAGGAAGGCAACCCAAAGCGAGAAGCAGTTCAGCATTGACTTTAGATTCGTTTATATGTACAATGTGGGATGAAAGGAAGGAGTTATAAAGTTTACCTTGGCACGTTATATTCAGGATATAGCTCGGCAACCTTTGCCACAAAGTCACCATAGTGAGATATGGCTTCAACACACAAGTGTCTACCAGCTGCGGATGGGTTTTCATATACCATAATATGTGCCAACGCTACATCTTTAAAATGGACAGATCCCATGAAGAAGTTCTCGTACGTCTCTGTGCAGCCTGCGAAGGATAAATCTCACCTTATCACTCAAATGTCTAACGCAAGCAAGCACGAGAGACATGCATATTCAGTAGAAATGCAGATTAGTCAGAGCGCTTCATGAAATCCAAAAGAATGGCATAACAATTGACAAACATTAGTAACTAACGAAGACTCAAAACTGTCATTTTCTCTGATCACTTACAGGTATCAACGCATAATCCCATATATTTACAGGTTTCCTACAAGAGATGTCACTAGAACCGTAAAACGGAGGTTTGTCATACAGCCAAGATAAACAGTAAGTCAGAGTAAAGAGGAGGAAGTAAAGATATTTCCAGCAGATTCTTTGCTGTACAACAGGTTTAACCTTATTGCCTTAGTACCTTCTCCTACAGCCACAAAGAATTCTAATTCTCCTAGCTTCTGACTTCATACACATGAAGAAAACCATTTCAGTTTGCCTTTGGTTTTGGAGCGATGTTGCTTTGTTGGGTATCGAAGTACAACAGTTCAAGTATCCAAAGTCAAGCAAATACAGGGCCTAATACTCCTCAAAAAAGAGGATCCACAAGCATAAGGCAATGCTGAATCTTCACTCACTGGCCAATTCCACAGAGGGTGACGGTGACTAGAGCACCAGTTTCATGCCTTAAACCTGCAGAACATACACAAATGCAAATGAAAATGGGGAATAAGAAACCATCACCTTGCAGAAGGCGCAAAATCATCAACATGCTCGCATTCAGAGTAGGCGGGATAGCAGGACCCATGACGGTACCCGGATTCACCACCACAACGTCCAAACCTTTCTCCTTGGCGAATTCCCACGCAGCTTTCTCCGCTAGGGTCTTCGAGAGCGGATACCAGAACTATCAACTCAAAAGCAGGACACAGCATCAGTGCATCAAAAATGGAGAAGCAAACTATGAAAGATTCAAATGGAAAGCAGATGGTATGATCTGGTTGGAAAATGGCTTAGTTCCTCTTACAGTATGATTCATTCCCACTACTACTAACTTACAGTATGATCCAGTTGGAAAGTGACTAAGTTCTGCTCACATTATGACTCAATTAGGAAGCAATTAGTATGACTCGTTCCTACTAGTACAAACTTACTCCGTTCTGCTTACAGTACTCAACGTCAGTCCAGCAATCCTCTCTCTTTAGAACGTCAGCCGGCCACTTGGGGCTCGGCGTGATGGCGGAGATGGAAGACGTCACCACCACACGCTTCACTCCTTTCTCCTTAGACGCCGTCAGCACGTTCATCGTCCCTTTGATTGCCGGATCCAGTAGCTGTTTCTGCTCCGGAGAAAGAAAAAAAAAATTTTGCACGACGATTTGAAAGTTCGGAGTAAAAAGGGGAAAGCCAAATTGAACACAGCTGAGCTCGTCTGGCGATGCTACCTACCTCAGGATCCTGGACTTCATCGACGATACAAGGAGAGGCGAGGTGGAAGACGCCGGCGCAGCCATCGATGGCAGCGGAGATCGAGTCGTAGTCGAGAAGGTCGATTTGGTGTAAATGGAGGCGCGTCTCTGCTCCTTTTAGAGCTTGCAAATGCTTCGTCTCCTTCTCGTCGTCTAGCATAAGACACGGAAACGGGAACTGAAATCAGCCTCTGTAAAGTAGAAATGTGTGGGCGAATTGCATTTGAAAGAACGAAACCATGGATTGAGAAAGATGGGGAAAGTTTGGAGAAGAAATGTTTTGAGTAACTGAGGTCTTTGACGGTGGCGTGAACGGTGTATCCGCGGTCGAGAAGGAGTGAGATGAGCCAAGAGCCAATGCAGCCGCTTCCGCCGGTGACGCAGACAGTTTCTCCACCGTGAGACATTTCTGGTTGCTCCAACTCGAGACTTCTGGTGACTTTCTCCGGCTGTTTCTAGGTTATTGGCGGTGTAGCAGACTGTTGACATGCGGCAAACACGTGCCTATCCACAATTTTTCATGTCACATTTGTCATTTTATATTTTCATAAATTTTTATGTTCAACTCACCTAAAATTAATATAATAATAAGATGTGTAATCATATTCACTAAGACTGAACCTACAACCTTTTCACTCTAACTTTAATATCATTCAATCTATTGACCAATGAGATAAATTATATTTGATGTTATCAACACAACAAGATTAATACTTATATCTTAACAGATTTAACACCCGATCTCTGACTGTGATCTTCTTATTTTATCGGTTGACATTCGACTCAATTATAAAAACACAGGCCCTAAAATTTACATAAATTAAAGCTACCACAATGTGTAGTATATTTACTTTTGATCATAAAAAAATCATTAGTAAATAAAAATAACTTTCATTTAAATTTTCTTCCTATTATGTTCAATAAAAAATATAAAAATATTTCAAAAAAAGCATAAAGAGAAAAATAAAGTAAAAAAAAACATAAATATTTATTATTCAAATCCAAACACTTATTTTATTTTTATATCATGTTCATTTCAAATTGAAAAATACGAAAAAAACCAAAGAAAAATTCTCTTTGATATTCTATCACACCAACAATGTAACATTTTGTCTATACTACTATAAATATGTGGACTAATACACAAATATAGTTATATACTAAAAATATTTGTGTGGTTGTTGCATTAGTTGTTGATAATATTATGAAAGGAAAATGGTAACTTGCTAGCACAATACATTATCACAATCACATATTTATGTGACATGTCTTACACCATAAAATTGCTAAAATATACTTACATAATTCATACATATGCCACCATGATACACAATAATTCTATTTAAATAAAAATATTGTTTTCATAACCAAGTTATTTTGATACGAGTGAAAGCGTCATTGGTAAATAAAGTCACATGATAACCTAGTCATATACGTATCAAGAAAACGAATTCGACATCCCTCTCTTTTTAAAGATGGTATGATTCTTTTTTCTCTAATGCAATTCTTTTGATTCTTTTTTCTAATAAGTCATTTCCCCTAACTTTCATGTAAACTTATAAAAAATAAAGTAATTACTTTTTTTATCTAATGAAACTATAATCTGTTTTATTTTTTATTTTTGAGCAAAATTCCTTTCATTGTACTGTGCGATTGAAAATAGAAAATCTTGGGTCAGGTACATATGCATAGCCTAAAAATTACGTCATTTCAATAACCAAGTTTCAAGTTTTTTTTTTCGATGAATGGTTTGGATCTTATTCATCAAATACGATCAAGAACAGTGTCTACAAGAAACCATGGAACATCTACATAGCTGATACTAGAACAAAGGAAACAAACTAAATGCCTACTGTTAACAGCTTTTTACAAAACTACTACACAACTCCTTTATACCACAAAATCTGAACAACAGGTGACTCAGCAAAATCTATGATCCCCAGCTTCCATTACCCCCTGCATCTTACAAACCTAGTTCTCGACAAAACATCTGTTTTCCCCCGTAAAGCCGCCTATAACATTCTCGCCAAACTTCACTCAACACCAAACACTTGAGCACTCGACCAACCCGGCATTTGCTAAGCTTATGAGTTGCCAATTCCATTACCTGCTGCAAATTAAGTGCCACCGGGAGCTGCCATGGCACAAGGAAAATTCTTCTCCATACTTCCTGCACAAACTCACACAGAAAAATAAATGGTCTCTTGACTCTGGCTCCTGCCCACAAAGAGGGAAAATAGTGACTACATCTGGGTTCCAACATTGCACCACACCCAGGGTGGTTATTCTCCTCAATAGAATCAACTAACTAAGCACAAAATTTTTAGGAATTCCACCCTTCCAGACAAGTTTAGACCAAACCGGTGATTCACCTCTCGACCTAATACTCTGCCACACCTTACCAATCTGGAACTTGGTCATCTTCTCTCCTTCCCATTCCACCCCTTGACTAGTTTTGCATAGCTTCCCAACAAAAGTATCACGAAGTTTTAGAATCTTGTTCAATACCCAAGAACCTCTAGTTTTCACTTCCCAAATGCTAAGACTGCAAAGTCTATATTCTTTCATCCAAGCAATCCAAAGTGTTTCCTGGTCAGCAAGAATTCCCTAAATATGACGAGCCAGGCATGCTTTATTCCAAGAGCAAATATCCTTGGAGCCCATACCACCTTCTGTTCTAGGCAAAGCCACCATTTTCCAGGACACCTTGACCCTTTTCTTCTTCGCGAAATCACTCCAAAGGAACTGAGAACAAAGAGTTTCTATTGATTTAATCACCTTCTTCGACATGAGAATAACATTCATCTAGAATTGAGTCATGCTAGCTAGTAATGAAACCACCAACTCGAACTTCCCTACATAGGTTAACAGTTTTGGTTGCCACCCTAGAATTCTCCTCGCTATTCTGTCAATCAGGGCCTTGCGGTCTTCATAAGAGCGTTTCCCAGCATTGAGAGGTAATCCTAGATACCTGACAGGCAGAACCCCTTCCTTGAACCCAGAACACCTTACCAAATCAGCCTTCAAATTTTCAGACACCCCAACACTGAATATCTCACTCTTACTTGGGTTGCACTTTAGCCCTGACACTAGATTTAACTTATAAAGAATCTCTGCAACTACTTGTACCCCTTCTACCAATCCTTTCGTGAAAATTAGTAAGTTATCAGCAAAACACAAGTGTGTGAGGCTGATTCTACTACATTGAGGGTGATAAGGCAGAACAGAACGAGTTGTTGCTCTATTGAGCATACAGCTGAGCACCTCCATGCTAATAGCAAACAGATATGGGAAAAGGAGGCAACCCTGTCTCGGTACCTTTTTGTCCTGGAAATGCCTTGTTAACCCCCCATTTATGCATACTGTAAAACTGGTAGAAACCAAACAACCTTTTACCCGGCTCACAAACTTCCCTATGATTCCCATAGCAATCAATGTACAATTTAGAAAGTCCCAAACTACACTATCAAAGGCCTTCACAATATCTATCTTAAGGGCACAACTAGAAGAGACATTTTTCCTTTTATATCATTTCACCATCTCATTTGCAATCACAATATTATCTGTGATGAGTCTCCCTCGAATAAAGGCTGACTGATTTGGACTAATTATCTATGGTATGACTTGTTTTAATCGATTAGCAAGGATCTTAGATATGAACTTGTACACAAAATTACAGCAGGATATAGGTCTATAGTTTATCATAGAGTTTGCGTTTGGTACCTTAGGTATAAGGTCTAATATGGTACAATTGATTTCCCTCCTCATCTTGCCCGAATGAAAGAATTCTTGAATGACCTTAGTGAATTAAGCTCCTACCATTTCCCGATGATCTTGAAAGAATTCTGCCGAATACCCATCAGGTTTAGGCGCTTTCCCCTTCTTCATTCACATCACCACTCTCTTGATTTCACCTTTTGTGACCATGGAACATAGATCCTCACTATCTTCTGCGAAAGGGAGTTGCAGCAATTGCCTTAGTGTGTCCACAATGACTCTGTTTAATTGCAAGTCTTGAGTACCCAACAACTTCTTACAGAAATTTACTGCTTCCTGACCAATCTCCTCAATGTTCTCTATTACTAATCATGTCTAAGTAACCAGTTGCTCAATTGTGTTCTTAGCTTGCCTTGTTTTGACCATACTATGAAAGAACATTGAGTTAGTATCCCCACTATTTACTCACTGTTAACTTGATTTTTGTTTAAGAAAGGATTCCTCAACTTGTTGGATCTCAAGAAGTTGGACCCATACACCTCTTTTCAGCCTGGAAGGCTGATGAGGCAGGACGCTCCATCACTTCTTGTTGAGCTCTAGCAAGCCCATTCCTAGCTTTAACCACCCTCTCATGAATATCAGAGTAACATTCTCTGTTTTGTCCCTTTAAACGACCTTTAATATTCATGGATCTCTGATACAATCTTGCCATAGCCGAACCAGTTACAGAACATAGCCAACCTTCCTTTACCAGACTGTCATAATGTTGATGAAGATTCCATAAACTAAAGTATTTAAATGGACGAGGCAAAGTTTGGATCTTGGAGTCCATACTTATTAAAAGACCACAGTGATATGAGAGTCCAGGCTAGAGAACCTTGACTGAACTCCTAGGATAAGCCTCTAACCAACCTTCTAAGACAAGTGTACGATCTAAGAATTTTGCTATGGGATTTGCAAATTGTTTATTAGACCATGTGAACCATGGTCCCATGACTTTGTGATCTAACAACTTCATCTCATTGATCCAGGATTTGAAATGCTGGGCACTCTCCCCCAAACCGTTGAGTTTGAAGTTTCAGTGCTATCCACAATTGCATTAAAATGGGATTCGTGGATCAATTGATGAATCAACCAATCCAATTGGATTTGGATCAAATGGATTGGATTTACATTGATTGGTTATGTGGATAATTTGATCGATAGATTGGATTCATGGATATTAATTCTAATAGTCACCTCTAATTGCGATAGAATGAATCAAGAACGGGGTGGGCGGAAGTACATTATTTTATGTAAGTTATCATTTCAACAAGTCTATCAATTAAGTCAACTAATATACGTAAGTGAGACCAGAAGGGACAAAATCAAACAAATTGATTCGAGCATTTCAACAAACATGTTTACCATACATGCATGTATCTCCATAGTATATCGTAAGTTGATGATCACATATGGCTTATATCCAGCTAGGTAGACGTTACGTTGCCGTCTGCGTCTATTTCTTTCTTCTTCTTCTTCTTTCTTTTCTTGTGCTGATTTTTGCTTGCACTTTTACTATATCCCCTGCATTGCAAGCATTTAGCTCATCATTCTCGCTTAAAACCATAACCAGCCTGAAAATTGATCTAATTCGACAAGACCTACACATTTAGCTAGCTAGTACATATATACCTGCAGGGCACTGGGATGAACCAGAAAGTGGGGTGCCGCCTTCTTATCACCGTGTCGTGTTCTTCATCAGCCAACCTATGTAACTTTTCACTACAAACAAAAGGACTTATGCCGAGGGTTTTGTAGCAAGGGTTCCAGAACCCTTGCTAATTTTTCCGGAATTTTTTGTAGCAACGCTTCTTTCAAGGGTTCGTAAACCCTTGCTAGTCTTAAACCAGATTTCACCGAAAACCCCTGATTCCCCTTTCATATTTTTTGGTAGCAACCTTATTCTCAAGGGTCCAGAACCCTTGCTACAACTTAAAACAAAAGGAACGGGTAATGGACTAATGGGGCGTCCTAACAGAAAGCCCAAAAAATTAATAATATTTATTTATATAATTTGTTTATCAATTCAAAATATATAACACGACACATTTATCCAAAGGTAAAGGTGATTTCGAGTTTCGACTGAAGGGTGATTCGCGACTGAAGGCATCTCCGACTGAAGGGGCGAGTCGCGATCTCCGTCGCCGCTCACTCCGGCCGTCGCTTCTCCGATCTCCATCGCTCACTCCAGCCGTCGCTTCTCGATCTCCCTCGCTCACTCCGAACGTCGCTCACTCCGGCCGTCGCTTCTCCGATCTCCCTCGCTCGATTAGGTTGACAGGCGATTGTCGGATATTGCTCGCTCGCTCTTGTTGAAAGGTTATTCTTCCTTGTCTCCCTGGCGCTCTTTGCTTTCCTCGCTTGCCTCTCTCGCGCGAGCGAGCTCATTTGCAGCCTCTTAGGGTTTGTAGTTCTTAGCTCATTTGCAGCCTCTTAGGGTTTGGATGCCGATTTAACTGCTTTACCATTCCCGGAGCTGATTTAACTCATGTCTACTCTAATAATCTCTCCTTAATTGCTTAATGACATTTACATGTATGCATGGAAAATGGTCCAACATACAACATAGTTCTTGATCTTCCCTCTGTTGTCTTTGAAACAGAGGTGAAGAATAGACTTAATGATTACATTAGGAGGAAATGATTCAAATTTGGTCGTTCCTTTTGGATTTTGGTGGGAATTGGTGTCCTGTGATGATTTTTTTGTGCTACTTGTGAGTGATTTTTTGGTTCTTCCTCGGGTTGGAACGGTAATAGATCCTGGCGTCTGATATGCAATATCAACTTGTATTCTATTCCCCGGAACTCTTCTGAATGAGTTTCTTGTGAATTCCAAGCAAAATTCCGTTTCAGTTAGTGGTGATAGTGAATCATCAATTCAATAGTGGCTGCTTCCTGATGTAGTTAGTGCTGCCAAGGATAGGCTGCCGAAATCTAGCTTAATTAGGTTGCAAAATGATTTGTCTGTCTCAGGTTGTGATAATTGCAGTGGCAATTATTTTGCTCTCTTCCCACTAATGTGATTACTGAAGGACACGAAATGTGCAGTTTAAGTAGATGTGACGAGCACTCGTATGATTTTAGTTGTTGAATGGATATTGTATTGCTCTGAGTCACAGTTAGGTTTGCCGCTGCAAGCTATAGTGAATGATTTTCTGCACAAGTTATGTCCAATTGCAAGCTATAGTGACTGCAAAATGCTCTAAATCAATTATCAGTACAAGCAGCTACTGTTATCTGTTGCTTTTTGTAATAGATGTGATCGTAATTTACTGAATCCTGCATAATTCAAACCCACTCTGCGAAATGCTGTCTAAACTTTATACCAAGTCCTAAACCTGAGTTCCTCTATTTGCTTGACGTTTACCTGTTGCTGAAATAACTATGTGACACTTAACCTCACGTAACCTGGGCTGTGGTACTGTTATTGCCACGTAACGCTTAATATATAACTTTATAAGCTTGCTCTGTGACCTGGAGTACTGTTTCTTCTGTCTTTTGCAGCCTCTTTATGCCTTTCCTCTTACTGTTGTTGTTTTCATGACTGCAGATGGTTTCAAGTTCAAGGAATCTAAGAAATTTGAGAATCGTTACTGAATCTGATTCTCAAGAGGGTTTTCAGCATGGACACCCATCGTCTCAGCATGAGGAAGGGTCTCAACATGAGGAAGGGTCTGCTAGCATAGGTACTATATGGAATATCAAAACTTACCCCTTCCTTTCATCCTTGCTTGCCATCCTCTGCCAATTAACTTGAAGACATAGTAGAACCCTATAGCTACCTAACTGACTTTAACCCTATATGGTTATGGGTTTGGTGAGAGTTTGGCAGATTTATTGATTTTTTCCCTTTTTTTTTTTGAGAGCAGCAGCTAGATAGAGTAGATTAGCCTTGCCTGCCTGCCTTGCCACTTTGATCATTATTGATGGCATTGCAGATTTCCCATTGGTGGGGAGAGAAGGAGAGGCAAGTTTTAGTACTCTTTTTTCTTGTGTGAGAAAGTCAGTGAAGGAATGCAAGAAAAAAAAAAGAGAAAGAAAGAAAGTTGTCAAAGAAGTGGGTTGTTGTTGTTGTTATTCAATGGCAGCATCAACTTGAAGACATATAACTTTATAAGCTTGCTCTGTGATCTGAAGTACTGTTTCTAAGAAGTGGGTTGTTGTTGTTGTTGTTGTTGTTGTTTGTCATTTGGTGTCAGGTGAAAATGGCAGAAATCAGAAAACACGAGGAAAGACGAGAGTTTAAACCATTTCACCGGCAACTACTGAAAATCACCAAGGTCATTTTTACCTACCATTTGCCTATCTATACTAATCTTCTTAGTTCTTACCTACCATTTGCCTTATCTTTTTCCCATCTTTTTTCACATGCGTGCATTATTGAGTGGCCATATCAGACTATCAGTCATCATGATTTGGTTGGTAGACAAATAATGAATTTCATAAATTGGGATTTTAAAGGAAGAAAAACAAAAAGAGAGAGAGTAGATAATGGTAAATTACTTAATTAATTAACAGTTAGTTATTGTGTAATAACAAGACAATATCCTGTTTAGAAGAACATAGAATTAGGGAAGAAGAAAGGGTATTACCTGCTTGAACTGTTTCTGTAAGCTTCACTTTGACCTCTTTCTGGCCTTACTAGTGGCTAAACACAACCAAATTAATCTCTCTAAACTTGGGGTTTGTGGCAGACAATGCGTGTGAGTGTTTAGGAGAGGAATAGGCAGGAAATTAATTGCAATAATTGGCCCACTGTCCTCTTCTAATATATCACTGTTTTTTGGTTTATTGGTTTTATACTTATAATTGGCCCCTTAACACTTACTCATAATTGTCCTATGTGCCTATATTTTAATCTTTTTCCATACAACTCTCAAATTTCTAACATTTCTTGCTGAATGCTGCCAGAGTCAAAATTCCTTAAGTCGGTTCAGTGTTTCTCTTGCAGCTGAATGCCATAGGCACACTTAGAAATGCAGTTGTAGTTATAAGTAGTATTTTCTAATGATTTGATGATGGAAGTTTGTGTGTTTATGACTAGCAAATTCTGGGTTTTCTTTATGATTTTTTATTTTATTTTATGAGCAGGGTGCCACTAGTGCTCCGACTCCATCAATGGGATCTCGAGCTTCGTGATCAAATGTCCTATGAAGCATTTTGGAAATGGTCGATGGTAAAGAACACCATGTAAAGAACACCATTTTGGATTATGAATCATATTATGTTATGATTCATGGGTATATGGTATGACTTTGGTCATGTAAAGAATACCATTTTGGGTTCTTTTGAGTATGTTTGAATGTTCATGGTGATTAGTATTTAGTCAGGTAAAGAACACCATTTTGGATTATGAATCATATTATGTTATGATTAATGGGTATATGATATGAGTTTTAGTAACAAACTTTGTTCTGGATTTGTTTTAATGACCAGGGTTTGCAACCAAACTTTTGCCACGAATCTTGTTGCCTCTCTTTAGTGACGACTTTTAGCGACCATTTTGATTTCGACACAAATGTTTTTCTAGCTTTAGTCACAAACTGTGCAAGGGTTTTAACCCTTGCAAGTAGCATATCTTCAGCAATTTTACATAAAGTTACAAAGGCCTGTAGCAAGGGTCGAAACCCTTGCTAGATGTTGGAACGAATAATGCAAGGGTTATAATCGATGGTACGAGCGACTTACGCTTGAATTTTCACCTACGTGTAGCAAGGGTTTAAACCCTTGCTACAACCGCTGCAGGGGACTTGCACCAAGGGTGGCTTATAACCCTTGCTACACGTAGCAGGGGCGGCTTTGCCAAGGGTCCGTCCAAGGGTTGGTTAAACCCTTGCTACATCCTGTAGCAGGGGTTAAAACCTTTGCTACGAAGGAAAATAACCCTTGCCATAGACCCTTTTTTTTGTAGTGTTTGGTTGGCAAGATCAAACACACCATCCCGATTCTTCTTTGGAAACGATTTCTGATGATGCCAACACACCCGACTCGACGCGAAGTAAACGTGGTCGCCTCTAATCTCTCCACCCAGCCTCACCTGAGCCGGTAAGGAAAACGATTGGCCGTGAGCTCCAATGAAGACGGCATGACCATCCAGACTCCACACTTGTTCCCAATAGTTACCTCTCTCGGGATGATTACCGCCATAGAAAAGCTTAGCCCGATCGAGGCCGTGGCTCTCATCAACGGCTAGCTTGAATACACGGAGCCCTATCAAGTCCCCGTTGTAGTTGCCTCCATAGTCACGGAGGACGACGTGGACCTGTCCGCCGCCGCCGTCGAGGTGACACAAGTGGGGATGTGAGAATGTTTGTAACCTAGCTGCGATGGTGCTAGGGTTTCAGAGAAGAAGGGAAGCCGATGATGTGGGAAAACGGCGGAATACCTTCTCCATTTCCATTGATCAGTATATATACAAACAGCTAATTACAGAGAAAAGGAATCTACTGTAGTTTAACGGCTATAACAAACTAACTATCAAAAACAACCTGTAAAGGGACGACACGTGTCTAATGTGAGTTACTAACTATACAGCTCAAGCAATCTGTAAACGACACCGTTTCGTCTCTTATTTATAAACCGATTTGCATAGCCGAGCCGGGTGAAAGGAAGCCCGACCCGGCTGTCCTGCATCTTCACTCTGCAACCAGCTGCAGGATCTTCTTCTACCTTCTTCACTGATCAGGCACACTGCAGCTGTGCTTCATAGGATGGGTCCTCGTGAACGGCGAGCAGCAATGCCTGTGCGCGTCGAATGATTTCATCTCATCGGAGAACGTGAATACCTTCACGGTGGGTCCCGTCGCGGCCGAGAAGGGTTTGAGTATGTCGTGAACAACCCAGAGATGATCCTCGCCGACGAGGTAGAGGTTGCCGTTCGAGTAGGAGGCGTCACTGGGTGTGTCGTGTTCTACTCGGACCAGGCAGTTCTTAGGCGGGTACGTCCAGCCGCCACCGCCGACCTTGCACCACGCCAGCAAATTCTTCCGCAACCCGGAAAGAGTGAAAACGCGGCAGTTGTCGTCGTCGTCGTCGGGGGAAGACGAGATGATGGCTTTTGTGGAGCTGGAATATGGCGACTTGAGGGGAGGGAGCGGGACGGAGTCGCCGGTGAATAGGTTTAGGAGGTAGAGGTCGAGGTGGTCGCGGTAGCCGCCGTGGAAGGGGAGGGTTCGGAGGATCCAGCCGTCTCTGGAAGCCAGGCAGTGAGCGTCTGATGATGTATCGTAGTGGGATGAGAGTTCGTCGCCGGCGGGGATGACGGGGAAGCTGGTGATGAATTCTTGGTGGAGGCGGATGTAGCGATCGCGCTGGCGGTGGACATCCGACATCCTGGAGGGAGATGGGAAGAGAGGGAGCGCGATTGACGGCGGCGGCGACGGTGGATGAGGAGGATTGGTCAGGGGGGAGACCAAGGCATGGATCTGGCCTCTCAACGCACCCGTCGGGGTTAGGGGTGCGGTGGCGGCGGCTGTTTCGGGTATGAGCAATACGGGAGGGCAGCGGAGGAGGACGGCGGCGGATCTCCATGATGTGCAGACTCCGGAGAAGGAGACGATGTGATGCCTGGACCTAGAACTCGACGAGATTCTGGAAGAATAAGGGATAAGGAGAGGAAGAAGGGAAAGTAAGAGAGAGAGAGACAGAAAGTAGGAGGGAAAGTTTGTTATTATTTCTCAATGCTGTTATCACCTTCTGACTTTGCCTTTTATAGTCAGAATACAAACTTCTAATCTATTACAACTAACCCGAATGTTACAACTCCCCTTCCCTTCACCAAAGACTTGGCCTCAAGTCTGAATTTAAGGAAATCTTCAAGTCTGGAACTGAGGAAACCTTTTCTTGATATCTTCAAGGAACTCCCAGGTGGCATCTTCCTCCCCCTGGTGCGACCACTGCACAAGAATTTGAGTAGCAGGCATATTATTCTTGGCTACCATTTTCCTGGCCAAAATCTGCATCGACTCCACCTTTAAGCTCCCTTCAGCATCCACTTCTGGTAAGTATGGCTGCACAGTCCCGTGATTACCCACAGCCCGTTTGAGTAGAGAAACGTGGAACACAGGATGTATCACTGTTCCTGGGGGTAATTGCAGTTTATAAGCTACTGTTCCCACCTTCTGAATCACCTTAAAAGGTCCATAAAACTGAGCAGCTAACTTTTGATTTTCCCTGGCCGCTACAGAGGTCTGCCTGAATGGCCTTAGCTTCAGATAAACTTCATCACCCACCTGCAGCTCTCGTTCAGTGCGATGCCTGTCTGCCATCTGCTTCTGTCGGTTCTGTGCCTGCGCCAAATTAGTTCTGAGAATGTCAACCATCTTCTGCTGCTGAGTGAGTCTATCAGCCACGGCAGCTACTGATGTAGATAAAGGGTTTTGCAACGCAAACTGAGAGGGAGAGTATCCATAGAGTGCTTCAAATGGAGAAGTGCGAAGACTAGTGTGGTAATTCGTGTTGTACCACCACTCAGCCATAGACAACCAGGTGGACCAGTCCTGAGGTTTGTGGTGCACCATAGCCCTTAAGTACTCCTCCACACAACGATTAACTCTCTCAGTCTGCCCATCCGACTGTGGATGATAGGCTGTAGAGTAATGCAAACGCACACCCAGCAACTCAAACAACGTGGACCAGAACACACTTGTAAACACTGCATCCCTGTCACTTACAATCGACTTAGGTAACCCATGTAGCCTGTGCACACCTTCAAAGAACACTCGAGCAACAGACACCGCAGTGTAGGGGTGACTGAGAGCAAAGAAATGGCTGTATTTGGTAAATCGATCCACCACTACCAATATCAACTCCTTACCTCCCGACTTAGGCAGCCCTTCAATGAAGTCCATTGACAGCTGCTGCCAACTCCCCTCAGGAACTGGAAGTGGTTGGAGCAATCCAGGATATGGAATGTTCTCCACTTTGCACCGTTGACAAGTACCACACTGCCCAACAAATTCTCTCAACTGTCTCTTCAAACCAGGCCACCAAAAATACTTCTTGATGCGTTGATAAGAAGCCTGCACCCCTGAATGCCCACCAATGGGAGATCCATGGAATAATTCCAGCAATTGAGCCCTCATGGTACCAGCTTGTCCCACATACAAGGAACCCTTGTGATACAGCAACCCATTCTTGACCTCATTAACACGAGGACCAACCACAGGAACAGCAGCACTAATCATCATGTCCTGAACGGCCGTGTCACCCTCGTATGAAGCCTCAACCTCAGTAAGCCAACTCGGTAACACCGCTGAAATAGCTTCACATTGCCCTGTGTCTGTAAAAGTGGGATGCCTAGAAAGAGCGTCCGCCACTTGATTGAACTTCCCTTGGCGATACCTGATTTCAAAGTCCAGACCAAGCAACTTAACCAACCCTTTCTTCTGTATTTGCGTGTGTACTTTCTGACCCAGCAAATGTTTCAGACTCTCATGATCTGTTAATATAATGAACCTCCTTCCTTCCAAATAATGGCGCCACTTGTCAACCGCCAAAATCACTGCTAAGTACTCTTTCTCGTATGTGGACAACCCCTGCTTCCTAGGGCATAAGGCCTGGCTGTGATAAGCAATAGGCCTGCCCCCTTGAGATAGTACAGCCCCTATACCCACACCACTCGCATCCGTCTCCAGAGTGAAAGGCTTGGTGAAATCAGGAAGAGTGAGAACAGGAGCCTGCACCATGGCTGTTTTCAACAATTCAAAAGCCTGTTGAGCTACTGAGGACCACTGAAACCCATCCTTTTTCAATAAATCAGTTAAGGGTTTGGCTATGCTACCATAATTTTTCACAAACTTCCTATAGTAGCCAGTCAACCCCAAAAATCCCCTTAACTCCTTCACTGATTTAGGGACAGGCCATTCCTCCATTGCTTTGATCTTATTGGGATCAGTTGCTACCCCTTCCTGAGTAATCACATGGCCCAAGTAATCTACCTGAGTCTGGCCAAAATCACACTTAGATGGTTTGGCAAACAGTTTATGGGATCTGAGAATGGACAGGGTAGTGGCTAAATGGGTTTTATGGGAATCCTGATCAGGACTGTACACAAGTATGTCATCAAAAAAAAACAAGGATGAACTTCCTAAGATGGGGGGCAAAGATTTGGTTCATAAGGG